ATTTTTTTTTTTTTTTTTTTTTTTTTTTTTTTTTTTCCTTTTTGTATAGAATAAATAAGATAGTCTCTTTTACTGTTGCTGCTCTCCCTTTTGTATAATTCCGTTGCTGCTGCTGCTGCTGTTATCTAGTGTTTGCTGCTATGTGCTGCTTGTTGCTGCTGTTGCTGCGGTTGATGCTGTTGCTGCTGCTGTTGCTGTTGCTGCTGCCATTTTAATTAATTAACCAATTAATTAGTAGATAACAAATTAATTAATTAACCAATTAATTAATTACTTTTTTATTTACTAGTTAATTAATTAAATAATTATATTGGTTGCATTTACCCTATGCCTTAAACCCTAAACCCTAAACCCTAAACCCTAAACCCTAGACTGTAAACCCTAAACCCTCAAAATAGCTCTGAAGGTTTTTGGGCATTTTAGGGTTTGGCTATCCAACAGCAGCTGCTTGGAGGTACCTACAACATAGCAAAAATGGTTACTTGGTTAAGGGCTCTTGTGCAGCAGCAGCAGCAGCAGCAACAACAACAACAGCAGCAGCGTCAGCAACAACAGCAGCAACAGCAGTAACAGTAGCAACAGCAGCAACAGCAACATAAGCAGCATCAGCAGCAACAGCAGGATCAACCAGTACTCTTTGTGACCGTCAGTGTGTCTGTCTCCTTCTTATATGCCTTGTCTCCCCCTGTGTCTCCTTAGGGCACAGGAGACAAAAAGGAGACAAAAAGGAGACAAAAAGGAGACAAAACGAGACAAAAAGGAGACAAAAGGAGACACCTCATGGCAGTGTCTCCTTTTTTTGTCTCTTTACGTTTGTATCCCTCTTATTGTCAATTGAGGCTTTCTGCCCTCACCGTTGCTGCTGCTGCTGCTGTTGCTGTTGCTGCCAATTGCAGCAGCAGCAGCAGCAGCAGCAGCAATTGGCAGCAAGTGCGTATAATAGGCGCAAAAAAGAGATATATATAAAATACTACGCCTTCCTTATTACTCCCACTATTCGTATACTTAGGTTTCCTGCTGCTGTTGCTGCTGTTGTTGTTGTTGTTGCTGCTGCTGTTCCTCTAACTGCCGCTGCTGCTGCTCATCCTCCTCTCCCTCCCCTTCTTCCTTATCACTACCACTATTATGATGAATAGGTTTCCTGCTGCTGCTGCTGTTGCTGTTGCTGCTGCTGCTGCTGCTGTTCCTCATCTTAGAATTTGTATAAAAATTATTTCCTATTAATCCTCTTGCTGCTGCTGCTGCTGCACCTCCTCCTCCTCTTGCTTCTCCTCCTCCTTTTCCTCTTCCTCCTCTCCCTCCTCCTTATCTACACTAGCACCATCAGACAATTTATTATCTCCTGGCTGTGATTGCTGCTGTTGCTGCTGCTGTTGCTGTTGCTGTTGCTGCTGCTGCTGTTCCTCCTCTTCTTAATCCTCTTGCTGTTCCTCTCCCTCTTCTCCCTCTCCCTCCTCCTATCCCTCTTCTCCCTCTCCCTCCTCCTTTTCGCTCCCCCTATGCTGCTGATTAGGCTCATCAACACTAGCACCATCAGACAATTCATAATCCCCAGACTATGACTGCTGCTGTTGCTGTTGCTGTTGCTGTTGCTGTTGCTGCTGCTGCTGCTGGATATAAGCAATTCCTTTTAATCCTCTCCTTCTTCTCCTTCCTCTCCTTCCTCTCCTTCGTCTCCTTCCTCTCCCTTATCACTACCACTATTATGATTAGGTTCATCAACACTAGCACCACCAGACAATTCATCATCTCCTGGTTGTGACTTCTGTTGCTTCTGTTGCTGCTGTTGCTGCTGTTGCTGCTGCTGCTGCTGTCCCTCTTTTTCTTTTTAGTCCTCTCCTTCCTCTCCCTCCTCTCCTTCCTCTCCCTCCTCTCCCTTATCACTACCACTATTATGATTAGGTTCATCAACACTAGCACCATCAGATAATTCATCATCTCCTGGTTGTGGCTCTAGTGTCTCATTAAGATCTACAGAATCTATTTGTATATCTAAGGGAGCAAGAGGATAAAAAGGTGTATTTTCTTTAGATATACCATAACCACAATAAAAAGAAAAATATATTTTTTCCCCTATTATACTCATTGCTCCTGGCCATTTATTTGAGTGTATAGATACTATTGAGTTACTTATTTCCTTATATATACCTGTATCTCCTGTTACTCTTATATACCATGCAGGTATACTATTATTATTATTATTATTATTATTATTATTAGAGGAAGAAGAAGAAGAAGAAGATGAGGAAGAAGAGGAGGAAGAAGAAGGGAAAGGAGATACAGAAAGGGGACTGTCTCCTGCTGCTGATCTACCTAATTCAAGTATTGGATCCTCCTCTATCTTATGCTGTAATTCTTGATACCCTTCTTCCTCCTCCTCTATCTCTGGATACACCGTAAGACCATTACGTGTTATATAGGGCCTACTATGACACCAAGAGGCAACATCTGTTAATGTTTGTTGAGGGTTAGCTGGGATCGTATACTCGGGATCGTCTCCTCCCCCACCACCTTGGGGATCGGATCCCCCATCATCTAATGATTGTATAGATCCTATTGGACTTAAATATGTATCTGATGTTATTAATGCTATTAATGCCCTTAATAAATGTCTCTCTCTTCCTGCAAACCAAGGAAAGGAGACAATTTGTTTATCTAAATCTCCTGTTAATAATTTCTTTATCTTACGTGCTGTTGCTAATTGGCTAGGTAATACATCAGGTAATAATATCCATTTATTACTGTCTTGTTGTAGTACAAAATATGTATATGTATTTACTCCTGTCCCTCTTCTATCCATAGGACTTGATGATAATAATTCATCTTCTTCTCCTCCTTCTCCTCCTCCTCCTCCTCCTGCTCCTGCTGCTGCTGCTGCTGCTGCTGCTACTAATTCCTCTGGTTCCTCACCCTCAAATCTTGTCTCTGCTATTATATAATCCCCTTCTGTACCTAATATCTTACCCCATAGACGAACAGAGGAGACACCTGGTAAGGAGACAGCTAATTGCTTAAGACAACAAGATATACGAAATGCCTCTGTCTCCGTAAATCCATTACCTACCCAATTTAATAATCTATTTTCCTTAATAAAATATCCATAATCTATTTGTAGATCTATTTCTTTATTAGGTCTAATTATATTTAATAATTGTTTTGTTCTTCTTAACCATTGCTCTCTTCCTCTTGATAAATAATATGTACCTATTTCTTCTTCTCTTTTTATAGGGGCCCCTAATGATATATCATAAGGGGCCCCAACACCTATACCATTACCACCAACAACCCCACCATTTGTACCACCTTGTATATTTTTTTTTTTTTTTTTCTTCTTCTTTTATTTTTGTCTCTCTTAATACTTTTAGGGATTCAGATATTCTCTCAAATGCTGCGTAGGGATCAGCAGGTTGCTCAGCAACTAATGCAGCAATTAGCTCAGTAAGATGGTCATATACACTGTACCCACTAGCACCACATTTCTGCAGTATACACTGCACTTGTTCAACTGTTGATGGAGGAGGCATCGCTATTATTTCCTATTTTTTTTTATATATAAATATATATATATATATATATTATTATTTATATATATATGTGCAGCAACTGCAGCAGCAACAGCAGCAGCAGCAGCAAAAAATATTCCAGCAATAATAGAGGATCAGTTGCTGCTGTACAATGAGGTACACTATAGTTGTTGCAGCACCAGTTTTTGCTGCAAATAATAACAGCAACAATTGCTGCTGTGCTGCTGCAGCAACAAAGGCAGCAGCAGATATTAATAAGGAGACAGTTATAAGAAGAAGGAGAAGCTGCGCCTCTTAATTCCCTTGATGCTGCTATAAGGAGACAATAAGACGGAGACTGCAGCAGACCCTACATATACATTTATTTATACATATATTATACTAGGGAGGACTGCTGCAAACAATTCAACTGTATATATATCTTTTTGTCTCTTTTTATACAATAAAATACATTAAATAAATATTAATCTTATTTATTTCTTATAATTAAGAAAAAAAAGAAGAAAAAAAGACATCTAGGGCCCCCGGGGTCACCTTGAATGCACATACACCCGTAGATAGGCCCAACAGCAGCCAAGAGAGGAGGCTTTCTTATCTCTTTTCTTCCCTTTTTCTTCTTATTTATAATAATAAAAATTATATTTTAATTAAATAATTATAAATTATTAGACAATTGGACACAGAGCACGCCAGCAGCCAACCGTAAAAGACAGCAGCGAGGGAGGGACCTCGCGAGGTCCCTTGCTACCGACGCTTTAGGGTTTAGGGTTTAGGGTTTAGGGTTTAGGGTTTGAGGTACGGAAGGAGAGAGAAGAGACTACGAAATCATTATCCTTCAACTCCTTTTAAGGGAACCTACGGATCTTTATTTCAAAACATATCGTTGCTAGGGTTTAGGGTTTAGGGTTTAGGGTTTAGGGTTTGGGATCCGCCGCATCTTTAGGGTTTAGGTATTGCGAGAAGGAGGAACAGGATATAAGGGAGGAAGGAAGGTTTAGTGTTAAGGGGTTCCTAGGGTTTAGGGTTTAGGGTTTAAGGAGGCAGCAACTTTTCCCTCCTTTTGCCTTTATAACTCGGCTGCGGCTGCTGCCGATCGAGTGGAGCTTACAGAGGCAACAGCAGCAGCAGCTGCTGCTGCTGTTGCTGCTGCTGCTGCCTGGTCTGTATACTCCAACAAACGTTGAATGACGGAGAAGGGTTGAGGGTTTAGGGTTTACGGTTTACGGTTTTCTGTTATACTCTGGTGGAGGAGAGAAGAGTCCCAACCTCGATTGTAGAGCAGCAGCAACAGCAGCAACAACAGCAGCAAAAGAAGAGAGCAGCAGCAACAGCAACAACCGCAGCAGGAGAGGCGCGGTTCCTCTACACAATCATCGGCAGTATCGCATCCTCCTTAACCTCAGCAATAGCAGCAACCGCAGCAGTAACCTCAGCAATAGCAGCAACCGCAGCAGCAACCGCAGCAGCAACCGCAGCAGCAACCGCAGCAGCAGCAGCAGCAACAACCGCAGCAGCAGCAGCAGCAACAGCAGCGACAGCCCCCAGAATTTCGCATTTATCTGAACCGCATTAAGAGCCGCAGCAGCATAACAACAGCAGCAACAGCATCAGCATTGACAACATCTGCTGCTGCAACAAGAGCAGCAGCAGGAGGAGCAGCAGGAAGAAGATGCAGCCTTCTTTATTACGTTATAGTCCATCACGTATAGCATGTAAGAATATTCGTAGTGCAGGGGATAGAGATGGAGGAGCAACAAGTATAGATAGTACTCGTGCCCGTCGTACAGGAGGAGGAGGCCAATCAGCAACAGGAGTTAGCAGCAGCAGCAGCAGTGGTGGTGGTGTACCATCATCAGCACAGGGCCCCCAATCAATTAGTACAACAAATAATAATACAAATATAGGAGGAACAGGGGGCCCCCTTTTATCTAATACAGAGGATATAATAAACTCTATATTACCACCAAGAGAATGGTCAGAAGGAGGAGAAGTTTGGGCACAAACAGTCAGCACAAATCCAGCAACAAGAGGAGATGTAATTTCTTTACAAGAGGAATTAGATAAAAGATTAAAAAGAAATAAAGCAAGAAATTATGGTATCTGTCCTATAAGAGAGGAATTATACTCACAATGCTTCGATGAATTATTAAGACAGGTAATTTAATTATATATAATAAATAAATAAATAAATAAATAAATTAATTAATTAATTAGTATAATTATTTCTTACCAACTCCTTGGAAATGGAGGCATAAATGGACCTCCAATTCACTTGAAATAGAATGGAGTGGCGTGGAGTGGAGTGGCGTGGAGTGGCGTGGAGTGGAGTGGAGTGGAGTGGGGTGGCGTGGAGTGGAGTGGAGTGGAGTGGCGTAGAGTGGAGTGGGGTGGAGTAGCGTAGAGTAGAGTGGCGTGGAGTGGCGTAGAGTGGAGTGGTGTAGAGTAGAATAGCGTGGAATGGAATGGAGTGGAATGGAGTAGAATTGAGTTGAGTATGGAGTGGAGTGGAATCGGGTGCAGTGGAGTGCAGTGGGGTGGAATGGAGCCGAGTAGAGTGGAGTGGAGTGGAGTGGAGTGGGGTGGAGTGGAGTGGAGTGGGGTGGAGTGGAGTGGAGTGGGGTGGAGTGGAGTGGAGTGGCGTGGAGTGCGGTGGAGTGGAGTGGAGTGGGGTGGAGTGGAATGAGTGGAGTGGCGTCTATGAATAATACGTATACGTATACGTATACGTATACGTATATATGTATATGAATATGTATATGTATATGTATATGTATACGTATATGTATATGTACAGGTTACAATACAGTGTGCAGAGAGGGGATTATTATTGAATAGAGTAAGAGGAGAATTAAGACAATTAATAAAGTATCATAGACGTTTATATGAATCATCTGCTGCCTTTGGTGTAAGAAAGATGCTTCTTTATGAGGCAGATAAGGAAGCAAGACATAATGCATGCAAAGAATTAACTGCAGCAAATGCTGATCTGCAGCAGCAAATAGAAGCAGCAAAACAGCAACTAGCTGAAGTCGCCAAGGAACACGAACGCAAAGTTGCTGCCGTAAGTTATCTAGATAGCTAGCTAGCTAGCTAGCTGCTTGGGTAGCTAGCTAGTTGGGTAGCTAGCTAGTTGGGTAGCTAGCTAGTTGGGTAGCTAGCTGCTTGGGTAGCTAGCTAGCTGGGTAGCTAGCTAGCTAGCGAGCCAGCGACTTGCAACTACAATGTAACAACAGCTCATGCAGCTTGTGGATATATATGTTACTGTACAGCTAGCTACCCAACTAGTTATCCATCTAGCTGTATTATTTATTTATTTATTTATTTATTTATTTATTTATTTATTTGTTTATTGGGGCTGCATGCAGGAGGCAAAAGAGCACGAAGCCAACGTTGCTGCATTGAGGAGAAAAGCAGCAAAAGTTAAACGCGAGATAGAAAGACTTCTTTCTTCTATTCAACAAACTTAGTCCAGCTGCTGCTGCTGCTGCTGCTGCTGCTGCTGCTGCAGCTGCTGCTGCTGCACTGCAGCAGCAACCAGCTGTAAATATACAGGACGCATATGCACCAAGCAGCAGCACTGACCTTAAGGGAAGAAGGAGGAGGGAAGGAGGGAGGAAGAAGGAGGGAAGAATTAGGCTTTATTACTACCTCTAGGGTCTAGTTATTGTGCTAGCTGTATAGCTAGCTGTATAGCTGGCTTGTGCTACAGCTAGCTGCAGCTACGGCTAGCTACCTACACCTATAGCTAGCCATATATAGCTAGATGGCTAGCTAGCTGGCTAGCTAGATGGCTAGCTAGCCATGGCTAGGGGAAGCTAGCTGACGTAACGAGAGTACAAAATAATTTATGCCGCTAATTCTGTTTGTCTAGTTATTTGCCCTTATTTATTTATTTATTTATTTATTTATTTATTTGTTTATTTATGGGTATAACATTTATATATTTCCTCCTAAGGGGAATAAATAAAATAAAAAGAAGAGGGAGACACAAGAAAAAGGCAGAGAGGCCTTAGGTGGGCCACCGGTCGCCCGTGTCTGCTGTAGCAGCAGCAGCAGCAGCTGCTGCTGCTGCTGGTGTTGCTGCTGCTGTTGCTGCTGTCTTACCTTAAGGTTTATTTATTTAAGTATATTTATAAGTGTTAAGAACGCATGCATGCATGCATTTGCTGCTGCATATTAAATAAGTCATTTATTTCTTCTTTTCTTTATGCAGGTGACCTGCCTGTACACCCCAACGCAGTGTGCAGCTGCAGCAGCTGCTGCTGTGTATATATAACTTTTTCTTTTTTATATTTATATAATTAAATAATTAATATAAATAAATAAAAGGAGTAATAAATACAAATAAAGTTACTTTTTGCCTACATATATACAGCTAATTGCTATGCTCTGCGGTGTATGCACACTAAGAGCTGCCTATACACCCCAGCTATTGCATGCATTATTTTTTACGCATTTTTTTATTATTTTTTCTTCTTTTTGCTGCATGCAATAAGAAGCAGAGCAGCATAAAAGAATAATTGTCTCCTTAGTTAGCACTGCAGCAGCAAAACTGCAGTCTCCTTTCCTCCTTGTGCATGCGTGGGGCTGCATAAAGGAGACAGCACGCAAGGAGACAAATAAAAAAAAGGTAAATAAAAGTAATAAATAAATAAAGGGACACAAGAAGAAACAAAAGAGACACATAAAAAAAAAGAAAAATAAAAGGAGACAAAAAAAAAGAGTAAAAGGAGACACATAAAAAGAGAGCAAAAAAGGAGACAAATAGGTAAATAGGTAAAAAGAAGGAAAAAAAAAAAAGAAAAAAGGAGACAGGCATAGGTAAATAGATATAAATAGACAAAAGAGAAAGAAAAAAAGAAATAAATATATAAATAAAGAGGGACACCTAACAAGAGACAAGGAGGGACAAGGAAGGGGAAAAAGGAGACACTTGTGCTACCTCTCCTGTGCTCAAACCCTAAACCCTAAACCCTAAACCCTAGAGCGGCAACAGGAGGTGCCACTAGGAGACACGGCATCCTTAGCCTACACAAAAGGAGACTGTAATAAACCCTAAACCCTACTGCGTACTGCACACCTCTAAACCCTAAACCCTAGGAATGGGGGAGGAGGCAAGAGGGGGTATACTCGTGAGGGTTTAGGCCGGAGGGTTTAGCCCTAAACCCTAAACCCTAAACCCTAATACACTCTTCTTGTGTTCAGATAGCTACGAGGGAAAGAGACACATTAGGAGACAGGGGAAAGAGACAGTGCAGCAGCAACAGCAGCAGCAGCAGCAGCAGCAGCAAAGAGGACTAAGGAGACAAAGAAGAGAAGGAAATAAATAAAGGAGAAAGGAGACAATAAAAGAAGAAAAGGAGACAAAAAAAGAGGAAAAAAAAATGATTGAGGAATCTAGCGGTGTTGGTTTGCTGCAGTTCTGGGCATTGTCTCCTGCCCTCAACCTACTCAGCCTTACTGCATGCAAACAGCAGCAGCAGCAGCAGCAGCAGCAGAAAGAGCAGCAACAAGTGCAAGAGCTCCAACAGCAGCATCCAGAGCAAAAAAAGGAACAAGAAAATGAGCAGCAGCAGGAGGAGCAGCAAGACCAGCAGCAACAGCAAGAACAGCAGCACGAGCAAGAGCAGCAACAGCAGCAGGATCAAGACAAAGAGCAGCAACAGCAGCAGCAGGTGGAAAAAGCAGAGCAGCAGCAGCAGCAACAGCAGCAGCAGCAGCAGCGGGTAGCCACAGGTGGCTCCCAAAGTAAGCCAACAGCAGCAACAGCAGCAACAGTATGCAGCAGCAGCAACCCAATACAAACAACACATAACCCCCGCATGCATGCATGCATGCGTGTCTTTTTTGGGGCTTTTTAGGACCCTTTACTGTTTTGTTGGTTGGCGTGGCGGATTTACATCACGTGCTCAAGACAGTGCAGCAGCACGCTGCTGCTAGACAGCAGCAGCAGCAGCAGCAGCAGCAGGAGCAGGAGCAGCAGGAGGCGCAGCAGCAGGTGCAGCAGAAGCAGCAGGTGGAGAGACACTTGCTGCATGTTGTTACTGTCTCCTTTTTATTTACTGTGTCTCCTTATTGCTGCTGTCTCTGCTGTCTCCTTTTTATTGTTTATTGTCTTCTTTTTGTTTTTTGTCTCCTTTTTATTGTTTATTGTGTCTCCTTTCTGCTGCTGCTGCTGATTTATTTAGTTAAGGTTTATAATAACTGAGGAGACACCCGAAGTAGCAGCACGTTTGCTGCTGCTGCTGCGGATTCTTACTGATCCAGGCCTTTCTCTTAGAGGTAATAATCCTTAGCAGCAGCAGCAGCAGCAGCAAACAGCAGCAGCAGCAGTAGGTGCACGTGGCAGCATTACCAGCAATAGCAGCAGCAGCAGCATCAACAGCAGTTGCCGCAGCTGCATCTTCCCTCGAGCAGCAGCAGCAGCAGCAGCAGAATCAGCACCATCAGCTGTGTGGGAAACATGCTGTTGCTGCTGCTGTTGCTGCTGCTGCTGCTGTTGCTGCTGCTGCTGCTGTTGCTGCTGCTGCTGCAGAGCGCGTAGGGTTATATCTAGAGGTATATGGCAATGCGTTTGTTCGTCAGCAAACAGCTATGTATATCTATCGTAACTCAACGATATTAGAGGAGTACGTATACTCATACACAGCAGCAGCAGCAGCAGCAGTAGCAGCAGTAGCAGTAGCAGCAGCAGGAGCAGCAGCAGCAGTGGTAGTAGTAGTACCAGCAGTAGCAGCAGTAGCGGTAGTAGCAGCAGTAGCAGCAGTAGCTGTAGTAGGCGGGACATTATAGCAGACTGCAGCCTCAACAACAAATTGTCTGTGTTGCTGCTGCTGTTCTTGTTGTTGCTGCTGCTGTTGTTGCTTCTGCTGCTGCTGCTGCTGCAGTTTTATATGTGGGGAATATCAGAAGGGACTGAGCGACATCGTTGATTTGTCTCTTCTTAAATATAGAGACAGAGATCGTATACAAGGTGACCCTCCTGCTGCTGCTGCTGCTGCTGCTGCTGTTGCTGTTGCTGTTGCTGCTGCTGCTGCTGCTGCTGCTGCTGTGTGGCGGTTGAGAGTTGTACGTGACTATAGTTCATCTTGGTACAATTTCTGTTACCCCTCTTCCTCCCTCCCCTCCTCCTCCACAATCACCAGCACCACGTACTACTGCTGCTCTTCTTGCTGCTGCTGTTGCTATTGCTGCTGTTGCTGCTGCTGCTGCTGCTGCTGCTGCTGCTGCTGCTGCTGCAGCTGTATTCCATAGTTGGCGTATTGGAGAAAGTTATGATTTATCGAATAGTCGAGATTTTCGACTTCGACATTTTTATGGCGATCGATTTGATTATCGAATTAATCTAATTGATTGGAATTATCATAACCATTTACAGCCATTTGTATGCCAATTGCTGCTGCTGCTGCTGCTGCTGCTGCTGCTAATGCTAATGCTGCTGCTGCTGTTGCTGTTGCTGTTGCTGATGTTGCTGCTGGTGATGATGATGATAGTAATGGTCATGGTGATGATGGTGTTATCGAATTAATCTTATCGATTGGAATTATCATAACCATTTACAACCATTTGTACGCGAATTGCTGCTGCTGCTGCTGCTAATGCTGCTGCTGCATGCAATATTGCTGCTGCTGCTGTTACATGCAATATTGCTGCTGCTGTTGGTGATAGTGATAGTGGTGATGATGGTGGTATCGAATTAATCTAATCATAACCATTTACAGCCATTTGTACGCCTCCTGCTGCTGCTGCTGCTGCTGCTGCATGCAATATTGCTGCTGCTGCTGTTGCATGCAATATTGCTGCTGCTGTTGGTGATAGTGATAGTGGTGATGGTGGTGGTATCGAATTAATCTAATCGATTGGAATTATTATAATCATTTACAACTATTTATACGCCTGCTGCTGCTGCTAATGCTGCTGCTGCTAATGCTACTGCTAGTGCTGCTGTTGATTGTGCTGATGGTGGTTGTGGTGATGGTGGTGGTGTTGGTGCTGGTGCTGGGTGTACAGCAGCAGCAGCAGCAGGAGTAGTAGTAGCAGCAGCACTAGGAAGAAAAGTGTTACTACATCTGTGTCTCCTTCTAGCAGCAGCACGAGGTGTCTCCTGCTGCTGCCTCCTTTTGTTTGCTGCTGTTAGGCTCCGTTGCTGCACTGGAGACAATATAAGCGATTTGCTATGACGGGTCAAACAGACACATGCTTGCTGCTGTTGCTGTTGCTGCTGTTGCTGTTGCTGCTGTTGCTGTTGCTGCTGTTGCTGCTGCTGCTGCTGTTGCTGCTGTTGCTGCTGCTGCTGCTGTTGCTGCTGTTGCTGCTGCTGCTGCTGTTGCAGCTGTTGCTCCTCCTGCCTCCCAACAGCGGTTCATTGTACTGGCTACGCAGCAATCTATATCAAGCTAGCTAGCTAGCTATCTACCTATCGACCTACCTAGCCAACTATGTAGCTAGCTAAATACGTTACATACATACCTAGCTAGCTAGCTAGCTACCTACGTACATAGCTAGCTAGCTAGCTAGCTAGCTAGCTGGCTAGCCCCTATGGTAAATATTATTGGTGTGTATAGGTCAAGCATTTGATGCCGGGAGTTCATCACAATTAGAAGAAAATAAAACCCTAGCTGGATATGTTAAAGGAAAAGATGTATGCTGCTGCAATAATAATAATACAAGGGTTTAGGGTTTAGGGTTTAGGGTTTAGGGTTTAGGGTTTAGGGTTTAGGAGGGTTTAATTATAAGGGTTAATGCTGTGTAATGGGGTTTAGTAGGGTTTAATAGGGTTTATTAGAAATTATCAGGGATGCTAGGTTGCTGCTGCGGTTCTTGCTGCTGCTGCTGCTGCTGCTGCTGCTGTTGCTGTTGCTGCTGCAGAAGAAGTCTTGGACGAGTGTGCATGTGAGGGGGTTTTGGGCAGATGTTGTTTGCGGCCCTTTTTACTCCCTTGGTGAGGCAGCGGTGGTTTAGGGTTTAGGGTTTAGG